TTTAACAAAACAAGATTATACTATATGTATATTATTTGTTAATCTTTTTCAAATTTTCTCAGCGACATATTATGGCTTCTCTGTGTCAAACGGTTGCATAATATCCTCTTGTATGGCACACCACAAACAACCTACCAGTTTCTATTTTCAGACTTTTAGGTTATTTAAAATTTTTAGAATGTCCTTGTACATGCAATATTTCATCACATCTAGGTTACCATAAATGAGAAGACACATCCCAATTTCAGGCCAAAATGAAAAATGTACACCTCAGAATTTTTGAAATATGGTACATCTTTGCACACTGGTGTGATTTTATATTGAGAAATATTCTTACAAGTGGAATTTCTGGGTCCAAATGCATGACCATTTCTAATCCTTTAGATACATATTGTCAAATGTCTTCCAATTTCTCTTCCATACACTGTATGAATATGATTTTTTCCCCTGTACCCTTGCCAGCTTAGGCTGTTATGATGCTTATTTGCATTCGTTAATCTGACAGGTCAAAAATTGCATCTCACTTTAGTTTTAATTTTTGTTACACAATTACTATGAGGTCAAACCAATTTTAATTTATTTATTGGCCCTTTGTCTTCCACACATTACGACTTACTAAGGTGGGGTTATAAATGTTATGACAATCTTGTCACTTTCTACTGGGAAGACATTTGAAGAGGAATGCTTGTCTCCTGGGACCACAGGATCACATATGCCAACTGCCCATGCCTTAATCTACAAAACTGCCATTTGGATCCTTATTAGATGACAAATGTTCCCTATTTCAAAGCCTTATGATGACAACTGACTCCCTCTGTATATATCTTTGTTTCCCCTACTCCAATAATCTGGGTGGGGAAACCTGGATCATGGGTAACAGAAGAGGCTTGGTTATTCTAGAGGTGCTACTGACAATCCTACCTCCAATGCCAACTTATTTGTTTCTATTTAAAACCTTAATTTCAAAAATGTTCACTGAGAAGTTGTATAAAATAGTTAAAATGGAAAATAGCCCAAAGTCTATCAATAGGGAACTATTTACGTAAATTTTGGTAAGCTAATTGATGAACTAATATGTGACTATTTAAATTATATTGAAGTATGATTGAA